GTGCCACAGATCAATGGAACAGAACACAGAGTTCAGAAATAATCCCCACAAATAAGACTATTTGATTTCTGACCAAGGGAAGTCAATTTAATGGATAAAGGATATCCTTTCAACAAATGGGTTTGGGACACAACATCCATATTTTTTTTTTAAAAGATTCCTACCTGAATATGATAACTTACAGAAAATTAATTCAAAATGAATCACAGATCTAAATGTAAAACAATTAAATTTTTAGAAACAGGAAAAAATCCTAACCTGAGGTTTTATGAAACAAAGAGTTCTTTAGAGTTGACACCAAAAAATATGACCCATAAGAGAAAAAAACTAGTAAGCTGAACTTCATCATAATTAACTTTTTTCTTTGCAAAAACAGTTAAAAGGGTAAAAAGGCAAGTTACAAACTGGAAGAAATGTTCGCAAATCACATACTCTGACAAAGGACTTGTGTTAGAAAATTGTAAAGAACTCTCAAAACTCAAAAAAACATTAAAAATGTTTTTTTAACGATTAAAAACAGGCAAAATCTTGAATAAGCACTTCACCTTAGAGGTTGCAAGAATGTCAAATAATCAAAGACATGAGAAGTGTTCAGTTATCAGTAATCATCAGGGAAATACAAACTAAAACCACAGTGCCACCGCACACCTCCGCATTCCATCGGGCACAGGAAAAGCCGCCGACCACCCCAAGCGCCGCCGGGACGCAGCGGGACTGGAGCTCTCCTGTGTCGCCGGTTGGAGCAGAAGCAGTGCAGCCTCCAGAGAACAGTCCAGCAGCTACTTCTGTTACCACACAATCAGCTCACGCTGCTTGGTGTCCACCACAGAGAGATGAAGATTCACTTCCAGACAAAAACCTGCACACAGATTTTCACAGGAGCCCTCTTTATCATCCCCCAAATCTGGAAAGCACCCCACGTCCACCAACACGAGGACGGATAAACCGTGGTGTGTTCAAACCACGGAATACTACTCAGCAGCAAAAAGGGCCGAGCAACCAACACACACAACCGACTCTCAAAGTGACTACGGCCCAGGGTGCCCAACTGGCCCAGGGTGCCCAACTGCAGCCCAGGACAGCTATGAATGCAACCAACCACAAAATCGCAAATTTTCTCAAAACACGATGAGTTTTTTTGTGATTATCTGTCACAATGTATTTGATGTATGGCCCAAGACAACTCTTCTTCCAGTGTGGCCTTAGAGTTGACAAAATACTGGATACCTCTAGACTATGCTGAGCGAAATAAAACAGACTCAAAATGTTACATACGTACACTGTACGGTTCCATTCACGTGACTTCTCCAAAAGACAAAAGTGTAGTAACGAAGCGCCAGCTGACAAGGGTGTAGGGTGGGGGCTTGTGGAGGCACTAGGGAGCGTGAGGGAGCTTTCGTGGGTGACAACACTCACTCTGACTGCCTTAGTGGGTTCGTAAACCTACACGTTAAAATCCGAAGCAGCACACCCTTTTAAAATACCAACGTTAGTGCCCTGGTGGGGTGGCTCGGCGGGATAGAGGGTCGTCCTGATACGCCCAGGCTGCAGGTTTGATCCGCAGTCAGGGCACACACAAGAATCAACCAATGAGCGCATAAATAAGTGGAATAACGTAGTGAAGTTTTTTCTCTCTCTCTAAAATTAAGAAATAAAAAAGTTTTAAACAAATAAAATATCAACGTTACCACGTTAATTGTTTAAATAGCATACAATAAAATCATTTAGAAAACCTGCCTGGCAACATAAAGTCCAACTAAACATACACTTGCAACGCCCCTCGGGACTAAAACGAGCTCTCCTGTCCTCCAAGCGAAAGGCCAGGAACGTGCACATCAGCCTGAGTCACGCCAGCCTTGGAGGAACCTAAACGTGCGCGGACACTCTGCAGAGTGGACAAACGGTGGCTGCGCACGCAATGGAAGGCTGCATCGCACCAGAGACAGGCGATGTGCTATAGCAACCCCAGGGGCGCGTCTCCGGCGCCACGCCAGGCCAACGGCCCTGGCACGGGGCGCTTTTCCATGAAATTTAGAAACAGGCCGCACGTGGAGAATGAGGAGGGGGGCCCTGAAAGGGGGCGAGGGAGCATTCGAGGGGAGGGCGCTGGGGCCGCTCCTCCTGGCACAGCGGGGACGTGGGGTGGGTGCACCTACCCCGCGGCGCCGCAGGGGTGCCCTCCACAGCGGCACCCCACTCCTAGCCTCAGCTACGGCACGGGAGGCTCTCGCGCTTTCCGGGACCTGGGGCCCCGCAGGCCACGGACGCAAACGTGAGCGAAGGAGAGTTTCCACTGAACCTCCTTTGGTCACAGCAGCAATTTCTACACCATAGGAAAGGCCTTTAAGTGCACCCCAAAGTACCCCAAGACCCGTTACCCCACCACCTAACCGCAGGATATACGGTCTGATGGCTTCTAAACACCCCTAGTACCGTCTCCGTCTTGCCACCTTCTCAGCAGCAACAAACGCCCTTCGCTATTCCAAATGCCCCCGCAACAGGCTTCCCCGACTTCAAACTTTAGCTTTGCCGTTTGAACATGTTCCTCAATCCCCGCCCCAATGGCTTCCTTTTATAAATCTCTAGCATTACAAAAATAGCCCTAAATTCCTATTTGAGCCCTCCATGAGTGTAAATTATATGTAATTTGATATTACAACAGCTAGTGGCATGAGTCAATTTCCATAATAAATTACGACTTTTGTAAATAATACACTTTTGTGTATGACTTAACCCTGCACACCTGTTCAGAAAACAATTCTGATGGTCTAAATATTTTCATTTGATATATAATACCTATATGTTTAACAGTTAAAAGGTAAAAACAGACAAAATTAGTTTCACTTGAAAAAGAAAAATATTTTGGTAATAACCGGGTTATAAAAGTACCATCCACCTTTTTGCTCCCTAAGTACTGTTCATTGTAGAGAAGTCTTAAGTCTGAGCGTTACAGCGACGTGCAAAAAGGAAGAAGCCCTTCAACACCTCCGCCACCAAACCTTCCGATGTGAACCCCAGACTCTCGGAGGCAGATACCCACGCACACAAACAGGTATTCCACAAAGACGGGTCCCTACGCTTTCCTACCGTGCAAGCTTCTTTCTTCACTTAACAAGCATGAATCTTCTAAAAACTACGTCTTAAAGTAGAAACGCAAATTAGGAAGATACAGCCATAACCCCGTTCACCTCCCCACCTTCCTCCAGGGAGCCGGCCACGGCGGGGGGGCTGCCGCCCGCCCCTGGTTCGGAGCCCGCGTGTGCAGCCCCCTTCCGCAGGTGGAGAGCTGGGCCGGCATCGCCCTGCAGCCGGGCCCCTGCCGAGGCCCCAGCGCTGGGGGCCCCCGGGGGCCCGCAGGCGCCCTCCCCGCTTTCGCCCGTTTAACTCGGAGCAACACCCGCGGAGCCGCGGCTGCCACCCTGCCTGCGGGCAGAGCCCACCAAGACTGTGTCCCCACGCTCCGCACACCAGTGTTCTCTGTGGGCCACAGGCTCCGCAAGCTCCGCTCCGCCCCCCTACCCAGGCCACCGCCCTCACTTCTCCAGGGACGCCCCACCGCTCAGCGGGCCCCTGCCTCGCAGCCGCCCTGAGGGGCGGGTCAGGGCGCTCCCACTCGGTGTGGGGCCGGCACACAGGGCAGCGGGGCGAAGGCCCCGGCAGAGCCCAGACAGGCCGGCCGTTCTCACGCCGCTTAGGAACCTGCCCCGGTGACCCTGTGCGCAACGCGGAGCAGGAACCCCAGGAATCGCAAGCTTCTCTGGGACACGGGGGTCACTTTACTAAACACACTGCAAACCAAAGGGGAGTCCTTCCCACCTGAAACAACAAGATGAAAGACTAGTGTAAGGATTTCTGCTGCACCAGCAACCAGCTCTGTGCTCCCTCAGAAGGAACGGGCTCGCCACCCATCCAGTGGCAGCAAGCAGCACCCCGGGCCTGCGAAGGATGCGCGGGCAGCGCCCCGACCACCGCCCCCGCCCGCCCGCCCGCCGCAGCAGCCAGCGCCGATCCGGCCGCGGGCCTCATCCTCGGTCCCAAGACCCACACCCCGCCTGCTCCCCAGGGTGCAGGACAAGGGCGACCTCTGGAAAACGGGAAGGCCGGGGCTGCGGGCCAGGACCCTACACACAAGGAAGGATGTCACCTGAAGACAGCGAACAGCTGCGCCGCCACACTGCAGAGGACGCGGCACGTGAGCCGGCGGCCGGGCCCCAGGCAGCGCTCTCGGCCCTGCTCGCGCCGCCGCCGCGCCCGCACGGAACGCTGCATCTTCCGCGAGACAGCGGACGCCTCGCCGTCTGACACACGCTCACTCCCGATGAGGCTTCTCGACGGCAAATGCTCTTTAAACAACTGAGCAGTTCCAGCAACTTTGGACAAAAACGCTCCCGTTCCAGGAGCCCCCCGCGCGCCGGCCGGCGGAGCGGCGCCTTCTCCGGTGCTGGGCCGAGCGAAGCGGCAGCGCCCGCGGCGGGGACGGCACTCGCGCTGCGCCTTCCTCAGCAAAACAGGAGAAAGTCACTTCCCGAGCCCCTAAGTTCCGACACGAAAGCCCAGCCGTCAGAACACCGACGACCCCTAAAAGCTTTCAAAACCAGGGAGCCAAGGGCCCGGGCTGCCGCCCCCGGGGAGGGCTGTCAGGTGGCTCCCAAACGCCCACTCCGGGGGGGACAACTTCCCCGGGCGCCTCGCAGCGACCGTCGCAGGCGCCGGGAGAAGCTGGGCCCAGCGACGCGGCCCTGGTGCACCGACCCGAGGGGGAAAGACCCGCTTGTCACCTGACTCGAATTATTCTGGAACCGCACGCGAGTCATTTCCAGGACGAGCCCCGCGCGCGCCGAGATGGCACCACCCCCGGGGCCGTGACAGCCGCGCGCAGGTGGGCAGAGCGGCGGCGCCGCGCCCGGAAGATGCCGGGTCCGCGGGAAGGCTGTCACGAGCCATCACCCGGCCCCGCGCCGCCGCCCGTTACCCGCGCCCTCCCCGCCCCCGCCGCTTACCTCGAAGTAGCCTCCGGGGGCGGCGCCGCCCGCGCCCGTGCCGAGGGGCCCGTTGGCCGCCGCCGCCGCGCCGCCCGGGGCCGCCAGGCCCGCGGCCTGGGAGCCGCGCAGCGCCGCGGCCGGGCCGGCCTTGCCGCCACTCGCGCCGCCGTGGCCCCCGCCCGAGCCGCCGCCGCCTCCCCGCTTATTCTTCCGGCGCTTGGCCCCGCGCTTGGCGTCGGCCGGGCTCATGGCGGGCGGCGGGCGGGGAGGGCGGGGAGCCTGAGGCGGCGGCGGAGCGCTCGGGCCGGCCGAGGGCGGGGGGCGCTGCGCGGGGTCGACTCCGGGCGGGTGGGGAGGGCTGGGCAGGCGGGAGCTGGCGGGAGGCCGCGGGGCGGGAGGAACGGCGAGTCCACCGGGCCCGGCGCCGCCGCTGACCAGAGTTAGAGTCCAATATGGCGGACACAAGGGGAAAGGGATCCCAGTTTACGTCGGGGGAGGGGGAAGGAGCGGCGGGGAGGGGGAGGGGTGTGGGCGCCCTCCCCCTCCCGCCTTACTCCGCCCTCCAGACCGCCACGGCCCCCCGGCCTCGCCCGCCCCCTCCCGCCGATAACGAGAGCCGGCGCGCAAGGCACGCCGGAAGTTAGAGTCCCAGTGCTCGCGGCGCCGCCGGGAGCGCCCGGCGGGAGGACCACGACTCCCGGCAGGCCGTGCGCGTCCCAGCGCGCGGAAGTCGCGAGGGGCCGAAACCAGGGGGCTGGGTGTGAGGGTGACGTCACCGCTGCGCTCTGTGCTTTGGACCCGCCCGCGCCGTGAGGCCTTCTGGGAGTTGTAGTTGGGCGGAGGGGCCGGGACGGCGCGAGGCCGTGTCCCCAGCGATGGGAGAACTGCAGGGCTGCGGGAGAGGAGGTCCGCGTCTCTGACAGGCACCGAGACTCCCCGACGTCCTGTGCCCGGCCGACGCGGGGCTGCAGGCCGGCGGGGTGCCCGGGATGCAGCAGACTGGCAGCCCCGGCTCTGTCCTGCCGGGAATGGCCTGGTGACCTTGGACCGGCCCCTAACCAGAGTGCAGGTGACTCCATGGGGATGAGTGTGGCCCTGCTCGCGGACTTGGTGGGGATCCGGAGGGCGCCAGGAAAGCGCTCGACCCGGCCTAGCTCGGAGCTGCTGCCCCGAGAGGCCTCGGCCACCGTGCTCGGCTGCCGCGCAGACCGCGGTGGGCTTAGAATCCCGGGCGCCCTTACCGAACTCGGCCCTGCCTGCATGGCGATCCTGCAGGGTCCCTCAGCCTCGCATTGATCCGCCGCAGAGGCCGAGCCCGGCCAGACCCTCGGGCCTCCAGCGCCCTCTGCCCAGACCCTCCTTGTAGGGGCGTCTTGCCCACCACGAACAAGCCCCAGGTATAGCTCTGCCCGTAGACCAGAGAGGACCCTCTGGGCCTGGGCCCTGCGCTCTGGAAGGCCTCACTTATCCCAACAGCGAGACACAAAAGACACATTTTCCCGTGCTTGGTTCCAGGGGTAGTCACAGGCCAGAGGAGCAGCGGAGCTTGGGACTGGGTGCTGGGGAAAGGCCCTCCATTTGCACCCTTTCCTGGGCCCTATGGCCATTAGCTCGGCCTACCCAGGTCTCCTGGCCTCACCCTCACCCCAGCTGCAACCACAGCCTTTAACCCTCCGACTGATCCTTCCTGCCGCAACCACAATGAGCTAACATATGTACCCTGCCTGGCAACCTTCCTTTAGCAGCCCCTGGGTGGACGATGTCTTGGGCTGTCCCCTACCCACACAGGTTGGTCAGACACTCCCTCCTCCCACAGCCCCCAAGCTGCCCCTTGTCATAGCACCTTGGCACTGGACTGGGATTCTGGGTGTTCATCAGTATCCCCAGAGGAGTCTCAGGGGAAGTGGGGAGGGCATGTGATCTGCACCTGTGAACCTCAGCTCCTGCCAAGCAAGGGCTGGGCACACGCCAATCCAGTACTTGCTGGGTGAAAGAATGACCTAAGAATGACAATTTGTCAAGCCACTAGGTACCAGCCACGCTGCCTGCACCCCTGTCCTCTCATCTGATCCACACAACCATGCAGAATAGGGCCCATTAGCCCATTTAGTGGACGAGAAACCCAAGTCCATATATGTTAAAGGACTTGCCGAAAGCCACCCAGATAGTCAGCGGCGGGGCCCAGATTGCACCTCAGGAGTGGCTCAAGTGCGATGCAATCGGGAGTCCCTCTGGGGTCTGGGGACAGGGGAAGCCTCCCTGAGGAGGTGAGCTGGGCCAGAGCCAGTCACTCTGAAGTGAAGAACTTCCAGCGCGGCGAGACCCTGGAGCAGGGAGAAGCTCAGCTTGTCCCAGGCCCCTCCAAAAGCCACTCTGGCTGCGGCAAGTGAAAGTGGCAGGAGCTCGACTGCCCCCAGGAGAGGGGGGGCTCCTTCCGGATGCAGCCGGGAGCCGAGGCGGGTTTTGAACAGGACGCATCATGGAAGGACGTATGCTTTTGAAGAACTCTGGCTGCCATGTCAAGAATGGATGTCAGAGAAGCAAGCTCGGTGGCCAGGACTCTTGGGATGGCCTCGTAGGCGTTGGGGATGGCACTCCTGGGAGGCAGAGGTGACGCAAAGGCAGAAAACAGCGGTCCTCAGCCTTTGTTTTTCATTATCTCCCCCTAAGGAAAAATAAGTTCAGATTAAAAAAAAATACTAAATAAGAGACTGTCTGGTGCCGTTGAACTTTGGAGGCCACAAACCAGTGTCGCAGCTAAGATCTGTTTCTTTCCTTGAGTCCATTTTAACCCGCTGGAGGTCACTGTTCTCCGGAGAAACACAAGCAGTGGGTCCTGCGCATACGGAGACAGAGGTTGTGACCGAGACTGATTTATCCTACGGACTCGGCTCCCACGGTGACTGGCCTGACAAGCCCCCAGACCTGCCGGAGACCAGAGGGCCAAGGTTGTGGGTCCAGCCCCAAACCCCAGGGTCTGAGCCCCAGGGAGAGCTGACGTTTCTGTCTGAGTCCAGAGGTGGGGAAGAGAAACAAGGACCCACCTCCGGCCCAGAAGCACTGTGGCTGCAGGAGCTCCCTCTTCTCTGTTCAGGCCCTTTTGTTCTGTGCAGGCCTTCGCCGGATGGGGCGCAGCCCACCCACACCAAGGAGCGCCATCTGCTGCCCTAGGTCTGCCGGTGCAACGGTTAACCTCATCACGAACCCGCCTCCCGGACCTGTCCGAGATGCCTGACCAGTGGCCAGGCCCCCTGCAACCCAGGCAGCTTGACACGAAATTAGCCATCACAAGGGAGGACGTGGGACCGCAGGGCCCGACGAGGTCCAGACACTCTGAGGAGAGCTCAGTCTGGCAGGGGCACCCGTGTCCGGGGGGGCGGGGGGGCGGCCCTGCCCTTGACAGGGTCCCGGCGTGGAGATGGCCACTCAGGCGCCCTCGTGACCCTGGACGGCTCTTGGAACCGACAGGCAGGAAAAGGTGGCATACGCTGGGTATTTCTGTAAAGGTGAAATTTCACTGGTCGGGGCACATGCCGGGGTTGCAGGCGTGGTCCCCAGTCGGGGCGCCTACGAGGGGCAGCCGGTCGATGCTTCTCTCTCACAGTGATGTTTCTCTTCCTCTCCCTTCCTTCCCCTCGCTCTCATGTAAACATGTCCTTGGGTGAGAATAAAAAAGAAAAGAAAATATAGCTGAAATTGTAAAAAAAAAATCCAACAGAAGGGTTCCAAAACAAAGTTAAGGAAATTCTCCAGAGAGCAGAACAAAAAGATATAAAATAAAGAGACAAGTTCAACAGAGGAGGTTGGACAACTTCTGAATAGGAGTTAGAGCAAAAAATATGTATGTAAATATTTTTTAATTAAAAAAACTGGTAGGGGAGGGGTTATAAGGGGGCTAAATAATAATAGGAAAAAATACAATAAAGATTAAATTTAAAAAATAAACTGAAGGGAGAACCAGCCCAAATTGGAATAGGACACTGGAAGGCTGTGAGGAGAAATAACAGGTGGTGTGCGAAGCTGTTTGATACCTGGAATTGAGGTACAAGGACGAATACGTGGCAGACACAACAGTCTGTCCGACGGTCGCGACCTGACGGAGGACCAGCGCTGCGTTTTGACGGCCGCGTGGTCACCGACCTCACTGGACACGCTAGATCCTGAATTACGAAAACCATGTGGGAGGAAGCAGCTACGGAAGACCAAACAGGGGCCCCCGTTTTCAGAGTGTTTCCCTGCTCCCAGGGCCCGGGGCTGGGGAGGGAGGTTTCAGGCAGGATCTTTTGGAGCTGGAGACGGAAAGGTGGAGACACCGTGGGGCCAGCAGCCCAAGTAAGATGAGGTGATGGGTCACTGAGCCGGACAGTTTCTCCCTCGGGTCATTGCCCAACGCTCACTCTCTGTACGTGGGGAACCAGGAGACACCCTGGAAAATCCTGGAAAGCAGAGGGCAGGTACAAGCAGTTTCATCTGGCTGGGAAGACAGGGCTCACCGGCGGAGGTGCTCTGTGGCTCAGCGGGAATCCCTGAGCGGGACCCTAAAAGCGGAGAGAACCACCGTTAGAACCCTGCAAACTGCAACGCAGCAGCCGTGCACAGCGACCCACGTGTGGAGGCGAAGGGGACGAGCCCCTGCTCACTTGCCTAGCGGGAGAGGACAGCGCCTGTGGCCTCTCTAATTCTTTAGGTGCACGCTCAGCTTTTAGTTAAAAATTTCTAGGCATGTCAAGGCACAGGGCCTTTTGACAGAAAATATAAAACACACACACACACACATACACACACACACACACACACACACACACACACAAACCCATCGGTGAGTCACATCTTGGAATTAGGAGGCAAAGGCTGTTCAAGGAAATAGAGAACAAGGGTAAATAGAAATGAAGGATGGAGAATTTTCCCTGAGAATTGAGATCTATAAGAAAATTTACTAGAGCCCTGGCTGGTGTGTCTCAGTGGATTGAGTGCCAGCCTGCGAACCAAAAGGTCGCCAGTTCAATTCCCAGTCAGGGCACAGGCCTGGGTTGCAGGTTGGGGGCGTGCGAGAAGTAACCAATGAATGTACCTCTCACACATCAATGTTTCTCTCCCTGTCTTTCTCCC